CAAAACCCCGGCCCCCTGGCCGAGTAATTACAAAGCAAACGGCACGCAGGCCGTGAAAAGAAAAAATACTTAAAGCTTAAGAAGGGGGCAGTTCAGTATCAGCAGCAGCCGCCTGGTCAGCACTCTTCTTGCTGGACTCGGCCTTAGCTGCACCATCTTTTGATGCCTTACCCCCAAGTGGCACAAGCGCCACAACCGGCTCTTCCTCCTCCAACGCACCGTCCAACGCCTCTTCTTCGGCAGCCGCCAGGATCTGTTGATTATATATTTCCGAACACTGGCGGTACGTTCTTTCCCATGAGGCAAAGTCGGCACTGGGGAACAGTCGTTCCCAGGTCATGCGTTGGATTTGGGCGGAGTCTTCCACCATCTCCCGGACGAGCTCTTGTTTCTCTTGCTCGGCCTTATCCGAGAGCTCTTGGGTAAGACTCTTCTCCTGGTTCACCAGGCGTTCTTTTACGTTAGCCAAAGATTTCTCCATGGCTTCGTAAGAGTGCATTTTTTGGCGAAGGGGTTTCAGCTCGGCTTTAAGGTTGGTGACGGTCCCCTCCAGCTCGTCAACCTTCTTTTGGGCCGCCTCTAGCTGAGCCCGAACAGCGGCGGTCGCCTGCGCCTGATAATAAAGAAGATCAATGGTCAGTACTTCATTTTGGGCAATTTGAAACATTGCCTTATCACAGCTGGAGGCGGCCATAGCCTTTGCGGCCTTTACCTCTTTGTTTTTTCCGATCAATCGGCTTGCGAAGGCTGTTGACTCGGAGCAGGGCCTAAGTACAAAGAAAAACAGGCGTCAGTTTCCAATCAAAAGAGTTAACAGGCGTCCTGGAACTCAAAAGCTCAAAAAGGTGCTAAGTATACCTCAGCTAGGACCCCTGAAATTCCATCGAGGTCAAGGGTGCCGGCACCCTTGACCGCCTCCCTGTCAGATGGAGGAACTACTTTAACCATTGACTTGGCTACCTCAACCAAGTCAAGTCCCTGGGGGCCAGCTGCATTAAGCGAAAGGAAAAAACAAGTTAGACCTAATCAAAAAGGAAGCAAGGGTGAGTTTTTACAAGCAAGTGTCCATACATCTAGGCGGCCCCGCCTGGGTTTTTGAAGAAGTGGCCGGCTGCTTCTCAGCCACCACTGTTTTCCTGGAAGACCCAGGAGAGCTTGCAACAGTCGTCCTCCGGGCCTTGGGGTCCGGCTGTTGCGAGGAAGAAGCCCTTGGAGTGCCAGACTGAAAACAAAAAGAGTTAGTATATGCATAATACAACTAAAAGGAGAAGGGTTTTCAAAGCTTACCAAGGGTGCCTCCTTGCTGGGGGAGTCGGCATACGACTGCTTCATTAGCGAGACCCGCAGCATGGCCGCCGCAGTCTTAGATGCTGTTATTTTACTCATGGCGTCGGCTGAAAGAAATAAACAGCAAAGTTAGTAAAAATCCCAAGTAAACAAGGCGTGAAAAAACAGAGTATTCGTCAGGCCGGCTACCTCTAGAGCACCGACTGCTGAGGCCACAGGCGGCCAAGAAGTACTCGTCATAGAGCCACTTGAAGCTCGGGACGCAGTTTAGGGGTACTTGCTCTCGTACCCCTGAAGTAGAGTTCACCCTAGTCTCTACTTTGAAGAGTCCTTTGTCTAGGATCTCTTTTTTAGCCTTTGGGGGAACAGGCGGCATGCTGCGGCCGCCTGCGAGAAGAGGCGGATCCCTATTCCACTTGTTAAAGCGTTTGTTCAGCTCCGTGTCTGAACTCTCGATAATAAGAAAGGTGTTCCGCCAATCCTTCCATTTGTTTGCCTTACCTCTCGTCATGAGGTAACCCCTATGGCTTGTTAATTGATACCAGCCGGTACCTCCCGACTTAGGGGTCCGGCTGAGATAGTTCATGTGGGCGAAAGCCTCAAAACTTGGCTCCACCCCGTTCAGTTCGCACCCGGCCACATAGCCGAGTACGTTTACCCAAGAGTTGGGGGCTAACTGCCATAACCCCAGATCATACCCATCTAAAATCCGCTGAACAGCCGGATGTAATGGGAAGCGCAGTCCAGCTTTGATGGCCGCCACATAGCAGCCAAAGCAGCCGTCACCATAGCTGGTACCAGCCGGCCAGACGACAGTATCTTCTGGATCCGGCACAAACAGTAAAAACTCCGGGCCCATTTTGTGGTTAGCAATAAAGCTCGCCACGTTGTCTCGCATGGTTGCAATCCGGCCCCGGGGTACCCTGCAGTAGTAGGGGGCGTTTTCCTCTCTGTAAGAGGCGGACGGCTCTGCCCAATTATCCCCCTTCTCAACTGCATGAGAACGTCTCGCCTCTTGTAGGCGGCTATGTTTTTCTTCTGAGCCAGAAGAACTGTGGCCAGAAGAGCTGGATTCGGACTCGTCCCCTGACGAGTCCGAAGAGGACGACTCCTCCCCTCTCCTAGAGGGGCCCGCCTCCTCTCCCTTAGAAGGAGCAGAAGGAAAATTAGACATGTCCACGGTAAGATGGGAAGGGAACACCTTGGTCCCTCTCTCAGAACTGTCAGCTTGACAGTCGCCTCGTTCTACATCTGGCGCCTGGTCAGATGTTTCACTAAGGAGCACCCTTTGGGAGGAGCCGTCTGAGTTTGATATCATAGCAGTCTTTTTTGTTCTGGCCATCACGTTCTGCATAGACACAGATACAGTCGGACTTTGTATAAAGGGCAAAGATGGGTCCAGAAAAGGGCAGGCGGCACTCCTAGTCCTAGATTCAGCCGTCCCCGGTGACCGGCTGATCACTAACTTAGGGCGTGTCGTGTGCTTCCATGGTGCCATTTCAAAAAATAAAAAGAAAATTAAGAGTAAGAGAACTGAGTTACCTGAACGAGTGACGGTTGATGAAGTCCTGAAAGTTCGGGTCAGTCGGCTTGTCAGAACAGGCGGTAGGCAGAAAAAGTCCGAAATGTCAGAGCAAGTTTAGGGGTCCGAATGTTCTCGCAAAAGTTCTCAAATGTGAAAATGACCGAAGTCAGCACTTCCTTTTATAGGCAAAGTGAGAAGGCGAAGGGTCGCTTCCAAATTCAAAATTTGGGCGGGAAAATCTCTCGGCCGTCTGCAAGGTGACACCTGTAACAGGCCGTCGCCTGTCACCGTGCGACACCTGTCACAGGCGACACGTGACCAGTCGCGTGCCACCTGTGAGGGGCAAATGATTAGGGGATTTTTATCCACCAATCACCGTCTGACAAGTGGACCAACCAGGTTCCGCCACGTGTTCTTCACGAAGGCCAACAGGAACCTGCCACGTGTCAATCACAGATACGTCCTCCACGGACCACTTAAGACACGCCACGTGTCCACCCATGCCAAATGGGACAACCGGCCATCAAGGCCCAATTCAGTCTAGAGGCCCGATCAGCCCTAGGTTTACCTTAAACCTAGAGAGTTGCACGCTTCCCAAGGCTATAAATACTCGATTAATCCTCATTAATCAGGAATCGAATAATTAAGAGATTAAGCAGAGAAGAACAGAGTTATTAACAACCGGCTAATCTCGCTAACAACGCAGATTACCAACACTAAGCACTCTCACCTAGAGAGATCTCATTACTTTAATTTCTGTATTGATTACTCCTTAATCGGGTACTAACTTGACCGTTGGAGGCGGAGCTCTCAGGAGTCTCCGTTATTTTGCAGGTACAGGCGTCCGGTTCCAGTCTCGGAATTGTAACTCTCCCGCAGGACATCAGAAAACCCCGAAACACTTGTGATTATGGAAATTTACCTTAAATTTCTGCACATTATACATGGATGCGTGTCCATGTTACCATTCTCAAGCCACTACGCATTCTAGCTCGTGCTTATAAACGACTTCCTTATTAAGGATCTAATCCTTGCTAATGATGTGCTTGCAACATCAATTCTCAAATTACAATTGTTTTCATACGTGAAGAACTCATCCCTTCTACTTATCCAAGTACTTTGGATGTTCTTGATCATAATCTAACGATCCATTACTTAGATTTAAATTGATTGGTATTTGATACTTCTCATGCTCTAAGCATGTAAGATGAGTGACGACTCCATATCATAGCACACATGATGGTTTCAATTGCTGAATTATTCCCAATTTATTCCATTCATGTGATCTTAACTCATCCAGTTTCACTGAGTCTTGCTAAACTGTTTTCTATATGATACGGTCGAAAGTCTCTCCTAGAGTCTTTCTTGTTTGATTTAGTATTAGCCTAGCTTATACTTAGTTCAAACATTTACTTAGCTTTATACATATGGGTTGAAAGCCTTTCAAAGTCCTTCATGTTTAATACGGTAAATTCCTCTAATCGTTCAAACATTTCATTAAGTCTATCCAATAGACCTTAATTCCCACTATGTATTAAGTATCGCCTTTTGCTTGGTCCATTGTCAAAAATCCTTTCAAATCTAAGCATTTAGCATTTGACAGTTATTTCATAATAGAGTTCTTAAACTTCTTGTTGGACCACACGACTCTTGCTCCCACTAAACTTCTTGTTCATAAGAATTTCTATGATTCTCCTTAAGCCAAACCTTTTATTAACTTTATGAGAATACATGTTCCAATTCCTACATGCAATGCTTCACTTAATCTCACAATGGATTTCTTGAGCTTGCTTTCAAATCTAGCATTCACTAGACGAAAAAGGTAAAAAGGCACCGGTTTTGAACCGTTGGGGATTTGAGGGATGCCAAATCCATGAAAATTTGGCACCGGATCAAAATCGGTGCCAACTAAAGCATTTAGCACCGGTTAACCAGTGCCAACTACCATGGCGCGAATTTATTTTTTTTTATTTTCAATACTATTCGCATCGGTTCAAAGAAAGAACCGGTGCGAAAAACCCCCCCTTTAGGCACCGGTTCTTGCTTTGAACCGGTGCCAAAAGTCTCAAAACAAATTTTGAAAAAACTTCTGGCACCGGTTCTGGTCCAAACCGGTGCCAGAAATACCCTAAATTTTTTTTTTTTTTTGCATTTTTTTCACTTAAGTTGATATAGATACATTAACATATATATAAAGTTACATATTTTCATTAAAAAAGGCTGTAATATTACAATTTTCGTCCAAAAAAAAATTAAATAATCCAGACTTATCTCTGATCGACCTTTCTTGCATTTCATTTAACTAGCTGTCCTGGTCTTGTGCTGGTGGCTGCTCTGCTGGCTGAGGCTGTGTTTCTGCTCTGATGGCTGTGGCTGTGTTTCTATTCTGATGGTTGTGATTGTTCTGCTTCTGTGGCTGTGTTTCTGCTCTGTTCAAGCTGGCTGGGTGATTGGTTTTGCTTCTGTTCAGGCTGTCTTGTGTTGGTGGCTGCTCTGCTAGCTGATATGTTGTTGTGTGTTCAGGCTGACCTGCTGCTCTGCTGTTTGATGTGCTGCTGTTTCTGTTCTGCTGCGCTGGTGTGCCTGTTCAGCAAAAAATAGATGGTGAGAATTGGAGAATCACCTCAATTGTCAAGGGTGTGATCACCTTTATGTATCCTTCAATTTTTAAAATATAAAAAGGGTATTAACATCAGAGCCCAGTATTTCAAACTAGTGCATAACTAATTGTAGGCGACACTAAATCCCAACCTCTCCTTTCCGGAAAATGGCAAGAATATCATCTTCTACTTCAGCTTCAAAATCCACATATAGCAAATCCTGTAAAATTATAACAATAACTGTTAAGTAGCAGTAAATACCTTTTGTCAAAAAAAAAAAAAAAAAAAAAAGGGCAGTAAGTACCTCAGTTAATCTAAACACAAGTAAAAAGAAAGCTAAAATAATGGAAAGGTAAGTTGGAATAAATAAGCTTTGAAATTTACATTGCAGTGCATACATGACAGAAAGGTGTAACATGCTCCTTGAGAATACGCAAATACAAAGGATTCTCATAAAATTTTGCTAGGCCTTGAAACGCATGAATACACCATGGCTGTAATTTTTAGAATTTTGATCTGACGTCCGTCCTATAGGAATCATTGATATAACTTCCAGAAGTCATACAACTAGCATAAACCAACTATGATATGTTTTATGCTTATCAATCAACCATATAAAAAGATATTGATGATTTGTAAGGATAGCTAATTCTGAAAACAAAGCACAAATATGTAAGCATGTAGTCCTATAATGTTTGATGTTTATTTACCTAGAGATATTGTCACTATGCCAGCCATATGATACTGAGATGTATAAAGGTTGTCCAACATATATTTCTCTTGCTCATCAGATAAATTTTCTTTTGCTCTCAGTAAACATAAATGTTCCACAACTTTCCTGCAATACAACGATGCAGACACAAAGTCCATAAATTGGAAATAATATCTCTTATGGAACAAGGTTTGCAAACCAAAAGCACACTACTCATTGGTTCAGCCAACACAACTGAAGAAAAGGTTGATTTCTTACAGCTTTCTCTAGCCCCTAATCTCACTATATTTTGCCAAATAAAATGACCTATTCAACAAATCATTTTTGTCAATAACCTCATTTACAATTTTCCTATTAGGTTGATCATGATTTTTCTAACATGCTTTTCGATCTGGACTGACTTTCACACAGCAAAATACATTGTCTATATTTAGCCTTGGCTATATGCCTTGATAGATTTACCCATTATTGAATTGAGTGAGTTGCAAGTCATTATGACAAAATGGAAGAATGGAAGCAATTTCAACTTCTCCAATTTAATATAACCATAGCATGCAAGACCGAAACACCCTAACTTGAGCTGCCTTTAATCTTTTAAAAATTGAATACACTTCAAAATATTAAAGGCAAGGTACATTTGGTTAGACAGGGAGTGATCTTGGAAAAAATGATTTCTGAAACTCCCCTACACAACGGGAGGAAATTCAGTGAAAAATTTCTTATCCGAAGAGTAAAAATGTTTTCCAAATTTTTTGTAAAAAAAAAATAACAATTTTTTTTCAAGAACTCACCCTTCTTCTCTCAATCCCCTCTCCTCTCATTCTTTATATCTCCTTTTCTGCACTGATTTCCTCATTCGTTCTCCCTCATTCTTCTAATCAAATCCATCTCGGGTCAACAAACTCTACCACTGCTACTATGCTTGCTCACTCTTTTACACAGAATCAGGATATATAAGAAATTTTAGCCACAATCCAAACAATCAAATTAATTTACACTTAGTTGTCCTCTAAATAAAATTTCCAGGAGAACTACATTTCTTATCAGAAACTAAGCACATTGCATCAATAATTCAATACATAACCATTTAAACTAGAAAATAATTCAATTTACCATGCAATCACTAAATTAAGTTTAATTGAACAATTATTCTAGAGATTTTAAACTAAGATGACAAGCTAAAAATTAGGGAAATAAACCCACCTTTTTCGTGCAACATCATTACTTGAATTCTGTGATGAAGAAGCCAAACAAACACCTCTTTTTCTTCTTCCACCCCAATACTTCATTTCTAGAGCTGAAATTGGATTCAATTTTTAACATCAACCCTAATATTTCTACACAAGAATAATTCTTAATTAATAGTTTCAAATTGAAATTCAAATGTTGCCTAGCATTATCAAATGTAGAATTTTATGATCAATGTTAAAAAATATTAATTTGACAGAAATATAAGATTATGATAGATTAATAATACAAAATAAGGAAAAAAAATGCAGGAATAAAGAAGAAGAGAGAGAATGTTACTAACAATATGAGTTGAGAGAGAAGTAAGGAAGGGAGAGACATGGCATTGCAAGAGAGAAGGAGGAGGAGCAATGGAGGTTGTGAGCTTGTAGATTAACGAGTGGACTGTAAACTGCCATAGCTCTCAACTCTCACAGGAAAGTTAACATGCATTTGAACCTTCATAAACTCATTAACACCAAATTTTAAAATGATCTAACTTTACATCCGAGACAATCTTTTCACTTTATACCTTTAAATTTTCAATCTTTAAACTTGACCTTCCAAGAATTCCAACCATTACTATACATCACTCCCCTTCCCCATACACCCTTTTACTTCCTTAACCTTCATCAACATATCCAGCTCTTTTTGCCTACCATAAACAACCCACAAAACAAAAATAAAAAAGACCCAATTAAGTTATTACAACTTTTCAGCATTTTCTCAACAGAAATTAAGGAAATTAGAACTAACACAAATAATTAGCGAAATTGATATTCATTGATTAAAAAACTTCACTGATTAAAAAACAATACCTCAGAAATTGTTTCAATGGAGGAGAAAGCTCAGAACTGCTACAATATAACGCAAAGCTAAATAACCCAGAAACCCTAACCTCGAATTTCTGATTTTTGGTTCAAAATTGATTCGAATTTGTTGTTGTTGAAGACGCACGCACATCGAATTGATTCAAAATAGATGCACCCAGAAACCCTAACCTCCAATATTGTAGAAAGAGAGAAGGAGAAGGAGATCGAATGAAAGAGAGAAGAAAGGAAATGGAAAGTGGCGGTTATGGAGAAGGAGATCGAAGGAGAGAGAAGGAGTGTTAGGAAACTGCTGAGAGAAAGCTCAAAAGCCCCTTCAATGGAGAAATTCGAGTACGCTTCAATGGAGGAGAGAGAGAGGCAGATGAGATGAGAAGAGGAAAGATCGAGGAAATGAAAGCAAGAGAAAGAAAGAGTATGGGAAATGAAATGAAAACGAAGAAGACCCGATTTTTTTTTTTTCAAAAATGGCACCGGTTTAAACCGGTGCTAATTAACATAGTTGGCACCGGTTTAAGGCGAACCGGTGCCAACTCTATGCCATACTTATTTTTTTTTTATAAGTTGGCACCGGTTTGAACCGGTGCTAATTAAATGATTGGCACCTGTTTTGGTTGGAACCGGTGCCAACTCTGAATTTTTCAATCCTGCCCATTTCTTTTGGCACCGGTTTTCACGAACTGGTGCTAAAGGGGGGGTTCCTATTTCATTTTTTCTACTAGTGATTATTTAGATTCTTAAAACCCTTAGACTATTTCTATAGTCTCTTCCTAAAATCCCATTTTAGGTTGGCGGTTTCGTTATCTATTTTTCCATATTTCATACGCGCAATTTTGCTAGAATAATCACGAAAAGACTTAAGCGTTCCGATTGGTGAATAGGTTTTTATTAAAATCAACTCCGTGAATTAATTGTATCCTTTTTCAACCTATGCATTATGCATTTCACATTTGTCAGTTTTCTCATAGAAAACGTATTTGCGATTGATGGGTCTTTCACCCTTCATGCAAATGAATCAAGTTCCAAACATGATTTACAAACATGGAGTCTATTTCGGATTTTATGGCCTCTAACCATTATTTGGAATTTGGATTTGTCGTAGCTAATTTTACAAGATACTATTCCCTCACCATCCAATGGTAAATACTATGCTTGTAAGTTTTAGGTTTATTTCTAACTTAATAGAAATTTATAGGATTCAATCCAAGCCTTTGGTGAATTCTATACCTATGCGGGGTAATTGCATCAAACACTGAGTTTCAAGGTGCTTTTAAAGCCCTTTGATTATATTGATCTTACTCCACCACTTCTAAAGTTTTGTGAGGATTAAATTCTCATTAAAGGCACTTGTGAAGTCCTTTAAGTATTCTTGATCAATCATTCTCATAAAGCCCTTCTAAAGTCTTCGGAGATTCTCAGTTTAAGTTTGTTGCTAATCTCGATGGTCATCGAGTTCATTTTCCTCCAACTTGTCGTTTTTGAAATGTGTTACTTTCCAGAAAGACACCACTTAGAGCAATAAATACTATGTTCTCAATTAGGTTGTGGAAGTAATGCATGTAGTCTCACTTGAATACTTACAAAGAGACATGTATATTGTCTTTGGGTAAAAGTTCGTTGTGAAACAAACAGTTAGCTCCTTCTCGAGCTACCTTAGCCTTTATTGAGCCACTTAGCTCCTACTGAGCCAAAGAACTCCCACTGAGCCAATGAACTCCCACTGACCTAAGAGCCCTAGACATATACTTGAAAAGACGCTAGAAACTGTTTCTATCCATAACTGAATATGGTGTCCTTTCATAGCTTCGACAATTTTTCTGTTTAGTGTAAAACTAGTCATTTGTGCAAATCTGTAAGAATTTTATAGGAAGGGATGTGATCCATCATCATTCGAGTCATTTCCAAATGGCATCGAGGTCTCCATCAAGACATACTATATTCTTTGGAGTTCATTATGAAATTTCAATTTCATAAGTTTGATATGATCACTCTTGGCTCAAGCAAACATCGCTCGATCTAATCTAGACGTTTTGATATCTTGCCAAGTCGATTCTATACTTCATTGAACATTTGAGCTACTCAAGGTCCTGTTTGTTCACATTTGATGAATGTAGACACATTTTTTTAAATTCTTGTGAGACGTTGTAGTAATGGAATCCTCTTTAGCTTTTGGAGTCAATTGTCTATGCCAAGCACAATAGCTCCTTTCTTTGTCGATTTCAACAAGTAAGACTTGCTTGTCTTAGAACGAATCCGAATCGATTAACTATCAAGAGTCTATCTAATAGAGCTTTGAGTATATTCTTGTCGATGTGACATTGCTAAAGATGTTTGGAACACAAATCATGTCCATGACTTGAACCTTGTGAGTTTTCATGTTAGGGAAATGTTTGTTTATAATCTAGCATTCTTGACTCATGGCTTAGACAACCATGCCATTCAAATAAAACCCGCAACTATTGCTCTTTTATTGAATGTGAGTCTTTCCGTGTGTAAACGGATCATTTCCTGATTATGGAACACAATAACCATTATTCGTTCCAGCCTTAGCTCAAAAGGACTTTAAACAAAACAAATGACCTTACTACTGATGTAGCATTACTTGCTTCATTCTAAGCTTGTAAGTCAATGACTTAGCTTGTCTTCAATGGTTTGAGGTCACTTTCAAAGTGGAACACTCAAGCAGTATCCAATACTTGTAAAGATAAGGAATTGCTAAGTTAACCACACTAACATGAACTCAAGGGTAGAAAAGGAATCTCATTCCTTTCCTTTGTTCCTTGTATCCTGTATTTCTTGTCATACACCATCTCATAACTTTAAGAACCATTTCTTGAAGTGCCTTGGCTTTTACACTTTTTTAGGCATAATTAAGCAACTAATGCGCTGTGAAACAAAGTTCCATCTTTTCCTTCAATTCGTTCTTGAATTGGTACATCAGTGAGTCCTACTCGTTTGTGTATGAAGCGAAAACATACGTTGGTTGTCAACTATTGACAATTTGAATTTTTCAACTCAATATTTCATGTTCATCAAAACTACCCAGTATTTTGAATACATGATATCCAACCGTCCTTTCGGACTTAAGTCATAAAATTCAATTATGAGAGGTTGTATTTTAGAAATGCCTTTTCAATCTTTGAGAACCATTCTCAAAAGATTTCCTTTACCAATCATTGAAACAATATAATTTGATTTAGAATTCTACAAATATAAGTGCAAAGTATAACCATTTATCAGGTTTATAACATAATAAGTTTGAAATTAAAAGCATACATGCAAACTTTCAATCTTATTACACTTCTTACCCACGCATTAAAATTTGGCCCTTTTAGGCGAGAATAAAACGATTCCAAGATCCCAAAAATAAGAAAGGGATTAAGCATGCTTTGGCTTGTCTTAACACTTAATATTTTAAGGTAAGAAATCCAATTGCTAGTCGCTCCAAGCTACTGTTGGTTCGATAAAACGTCGCATCTAATGCTTCCTTGACATTTTATCTCCACTGCCACGACATCTAAGGACTCCTTACTGATATCGTTGAGCTTAACCAAGAAGACTTGTATACCTAGTATACATTACGTTCCTAGGAAAGCGGTGATGCCTCGCTTTGGCATAGCCCATCACCACGTGCATTAGTTCGGTAAGTGTCGTTCTTGGAATGGCAAATTTGGCTCAATATTATAGGGACCTAGGGTTTCTTTGTTGGTTGATTTAAGTGAACTTAATTAGTCATCGCAACATTTGAAACCCTAAACATGCATCTATCATACCATTCAATCATATATAAGCATAAATATATATATACATATAGAACACAAGTAAAAGATGCATTTGGCAACTAGCATGACCCCTTGAGTTTTCAATTCTCCATGGGTCTTTAATGCAACTTCTTGGCTTGTCCTCTTAGAAGCGCTGTCTTCGAGAAATCTCCACCAAATATGCAACTACTAGTTATTATAACTAGGATTAAGCTAAATATTATGGTACAAAAATACGCAACGCTATGCAGACTGTATTTAGATTTACAAAGATACATAACGGATCGCAGTCCGTATTTACTATCCTATTCGGGCCCCACTAGTCGCCATTTTCACAAAACCTGTGAAACAATATACATTCCATTCACTATATGTGAATGGCCTATGCATTTTACAACGAAAAACAAGTAACAATGCATAACATGCGTAAACTAGTAACTAACTTAGGTGGTTAATCCAATTAACACACCTAATTAAAACTAGTCAAAGTTGTTTATCGATTATGTGATTAAAACGCAATTAGTTCAAGTAATTAACGAAGGTCCCACTAAATTCCGCATCCAACTTAATTAATCTAATTAATTAAGTCGGTAAACCCATATTTTGCCAAATTATTTTGTAAGTGCCGGAGGAACCGAGGCCTAGCCTCGTTAAAATAATTAAATAAATAATTAAAACGGCCTAATTGCGCAAAACAATAGCCCATCGCAAGCCCAAGTTCCTAGCATCAAAGCCACGGGCCTAGGCTTGTTAGGCACTAAGGCTCGAGGTTCGCATGCCTAGGGAGCTGGCCTGCCACCCAGCAGCGCCCCCACTGCCTGCTGGCACTGGCAGTCTCGCAGCATGCTTCGCATGCTTGCATGCTGCTGGCGCTGGCAGCTTATGGGTGGCCTGCCATCATGGCTGCTCGCTGCCCCTAGTGCCGCATCAAACTCAAATCGCAGCACATAGCAACCAAATCGCAGCAACAAGTGTGCACTAGCTTGCACACGCTACACACTTGTGATCCAAGGGGGGCAAGGCAGCCCATAGACGCACCTTGGCAGCCACATGTGGGTTGCGTGAGCAGCCTAGCTAGCCCAAGGGTGTGTTTTGAGCGATCCTTGCCTCGATTTGCGTGCACTTGTCTCGGGATTTTAATTCCCGATTTATGTGTGATAAAAATTAATTCTAAATTTATTTTAGAATCAATTTAGTGCAAAAATGAAAATAAAACAAGT